ACACTGGTTTTTTTTTCTTTGTCTGTTTCTTTTTTCTTTTCTTTCTTTCTTTCTTTCTTTCTTTTTCTTTCTTTTCTTTCTTTCTCCAGTCTCCTCAGTTACACTGGTTCTTTCTTTTTTTTGTCTGTCTTCTTTCTTTCTTTCTTTCTTTCTTTCTTTCTTTTCTTTCTTTTCTTTCTTTCTTTCTCCTCCAGTTGGTTTCTTTTCTTTCTTTTGTTTGTCTTTGTCTGTTTCTTTCTTTCTTTTTCTTTCTTTCTTTCTTTCTTTCTTTCGCTTTTCTTTCTTTCTTTCTTTCTCCTCCAGTTACAGTTCTTTCTTTCTTTCTGTCTGGTCTTTCTTTTCTTTCTTTCTTTCTGTCTGTCTGTCTTTCTTTCTTTCTTTCTTTCTTTCTCCTCCAGTTACACAGGTTGTTTGTTTGTCTGTTTCTTTCTTTCTTTCTTTCTTTCTTTCTTTCTTTCTTTCTTTCTTTCTTTCTTTCTCCTCCAGTTACACAGGTTGTTTGTTTGTCTGTTTCTTTCTTTCTTTCTTTCTTTCTTTCTTAAATTGTTTCTTGAATTCTTTCTTTCTTGAATTCTTTCTTTTTTTTTTTTCTTTCTTTCTTTCTTTTCTTTCCTCCTCAGTTACACTGGTTCTTTCTTTCTTTCTGTCTTCTGTCTTTCTTTTTTTCTTTCTTTCTTTTCTTAATTGTTTCTTTTCTTTCTTTCTTTCTTTCTTTCTTTCTTTCTTTCTTTCTTTCTTTCTCCTCCAGTTACACAGGTTGTTTGTTTGTCTGTTTCTTTCTTTCCTTTCTTTTCAGTTTGGTTCTTTCTTTCTTTTTCTTTCTTAAATTGTTTCTTGAATTCTTTCTTTCTTTCTTTCTTTCTTTCTTTCTTTCTCCTCCAGTTACACAGGTTGTTTGTTTGTCTGTTTCTTTCTTTCTTTCTTTCTTTCTTTCTTTCTTTCTTTCTTTCTTTCTTTCTTTTTCTTTCTTTCTTTCTTTTCTTTCCTCAATTACAGGTTCTTTCTTTCTTTCTGTCTTTGTTTGTCTGTTTCTTTCTTTCTTTCTTTCTTTCTTTCTTTCTTTCTTTCTTTTTCTTTCTTTTTTTCTTTCTTTCTTTCTTTTCTTTCTTAGAATTGTTTCTTGAATTCTTTCTTTCTTGGTTGAATTCTTTCTTTTTGTCTGTTTCTTTCCTCCAGTTTTTCTTTTTTCTTTCTTTCTTTCTTTCTTTCTCCTTTCTTTCTTAAATTGTTTCTTGAATTCTTTCTTTTCTTTCTTTTTTCTTAATTCTTTTCTTTCTTTCTTTTCTTTCTGGTTCTTTCTTTCTTTCTGTCTGTCTGTCTTTCTTTCTTTCTTTCTTTCTTTCTTTCTTAAATTGTTTCTTGAATTCTTTCTTTCTTGAATTCTTTCTTTCTTGAATTCTTTCTTTCTTGAATTCTTTCTTTCTTTCTTTCTTTCTCCTCCAGTTACACTGGTTCTTTCTTTCTTTCTGTCTGTCTGTCTTTCTTTCTTTCTTTCTTTCTTTCTTTCTTAAATTGTTTCTTGAATTCTTTCTTTCTATTCTCCAACTCTTTCTTTCTTTCTCCTTTACACTGGCGGTTCTTTTCTTTTGTCTATTTCTTTCTTTTCTTTCTTTCTTTCTTTCTTTTCTTTTCTTTCTTTCTTTCTTTCTTGGAGTCTTTCTTTCTTTCTTTTCTTTCTCCTCCAATTTACACAGGTTCTTTCTTTCTTTTTTCTTTGTCTTTCTTTTTTCTCTTTCTTTCTTTCTTTCTTTTCTTTCTTTCTTTCTTTCTTCTTTCTTTCTTTCTTTCTCCTCCAGTTACACTGGTTGTTTGTTTGTCTGTCTTTTTTCTTTCTTTCTTTCTTTTTTCTTTCTTAATTCTTTCTTTCTTTTCTTTCTTTCTTTTCTTTTTTTCTTTCCTCCAGTTACACAGGAATTCTTTTTTTTGAATTCTTTGTTTCTTTCTTTCTTTCTTTTCTTTCTTTTCTTTCTTTTCTCCTCCAGTTACACTGGTTCTTTCTTTCTTTTGTCTTCTGTCTTTCTTTCTTTCTTTCTTTTTTTCTTTCTTTCTTTCTTTCTTTTCTTTCTTGAATTCTTTCTTTCTTTCTTTCTCCTCCAGTTACACAGGTTGTTTCTTTTTTCTTTGTTTCTTTCTTTTCTTTCTTTCTTTTCTTTCTTTCTTTCTTTCTTTCTTGAATTCTTTTCTTTCTTTCTTTCTTTCTCCTCCAGTTACTTGGTTCTTTCTTTCTTTTGTTTGTCTGCTTTTCTTTCTTTCTTTCTTTTTTGTTTCTTTCTTTCTTTTTCTTTCTTTCTTTCTTTTTTTCCTCCAGTTACACTGGTTGTTTGTTTGTCTGTCTTTCTTTTCTTTCTTTCTTTCTTTTCTTTTCTTTCTTGAATTCTTTCTTTCTTGAATTCTTTCTTTCTTTTCTTTCTTTCTCTTTCTCCCAGTTACTGGTTCTTTCTTTTCTGTTGTTTTTTTTCTTTGTTTCTTTCTTTCTTAATTGTTTCTTTTCTTTCTTTCTTTTCTTTCTTTCTTTCTTTCTTTCTTTCTTTCTTTCTCCAGTTACACAGGTTGTTTTTGTTTTCTTGATTCTTTCTTTTTCTTTCTTTCTTTCTTTCTTTCTTTACACTTTCTTTCTTTTTCTTTCTTTTTCTTTCTTTCTTTCTTTCTCTTTCAGTTTCTTTTCTTTGTTTTTTCTGTTTCTTTCTTTCTTTTCTTTTCTTTCTGTCTGTCTGTCTTCTTTCTTTTCTTTCTTTCTTTTTCTTTCTTAAATTGTTTCTTTCTTTTCTTTCTTTCTTGAATTCTTGAATTCTTTCTTTCTTTCCTTTTCAAACAAAATTGTTTCTTTTTTTCTTTCTTACATTCTTTTATTTCTTTCAATCTCTTGTATTTTCTTTCTTTCTTCCTTTCTTTCTTTTTTTAACTTGTTTATTCTTTTTTGATTTATTTATTCCTTTTTAATCACAACTATTCTTTCGTTTTCTTCTACCCTATCACTTTTATTTTCTTTCTTTCTTTATTTCTTTATTTCTTCCTTTCTTTCTTTCGTTCTTTCTTTCTTTCTTTTATTCTTTTTTAGTCACAGCTATTCTTTATTTTCTTCTACACTGTCTCTTCTATTTTATTTCTTTCCTTCTTTCTTTCTTTATTAATTTATTCTTTTGTTATAACTTTTCTTTCTTATTTTTGTTCCTCACTTTCTTTTTTATCTATCTATCTATCTATCTATCTATCTATCTATCTATAGATAGAGAGATAGATCCGCTCGGGTGTATGTATCTATGTATGTACCACTGGACATGAATGTATCTATGTATGTGAATAGAAAACCATCTCCTACGAAAACCTTCAACAGCAACAACAGGTAACACATATAAACAGCAAGGGAAATAATGATATAACCTAGATGTTGACCTTCCACCGTCATATTATGAAAAACAATTTTCATCTGTACTCGACAGAACGATAATAATGGACTTGAGAAGTTTGTTTTTCCGAAAAACTGTTTTTAGAGAAAGATTTTAGAAATGGCAACAGACAACATCACGGTAACTGTCAATGAAGGTCGAGTGTTTCCTGTATGGAAACGGCTCATCTCATTATTATCATCATCACCATACATGAATATTTACAGCGTCAAAATAAAAAATTAATTATCAAAATCTCTAAAAATAAACTTCTCTTTTTTTTTTTTAAAAAAAAATGATTTAGTTCCTTAATAAAATCGAAGTTCTGATGTTGAAATATTTAAAAAAGAAATTCATTTTTGTAGGCAAATAATATCAGTAATAATAAATGTCTTTTTAGAATTCCATTTCTAAGAAGAGAAGCTGTATTCTTCTTCTTCTTCTTCTCATTGTATAAAATGGTAAGTAATGAGCAGTTCTCTGTTGTCAGTCAGTATTTTTTTTTGTTGTTGTTGGGTGCCGCCAATAAGAACTTGGAAACTAAAATTAGTTCACATTTTCCATAGATGATGAGAGCAACAACAACAAAAGAAAAAAAGAGTTTTCTGGGTCGGGGTCGAGGTTGGGGTGGGGTAGTGAGGCCGGGGGGTTAGGGTAGATGGCGACAGATCGAGGAATAAGTAAGTAAAAAAAACTAAGGTTTGGGGTTTTGGGTAACTTTTTTTTTTCTTATTGTAATTTTTCATCAATAAAATTGAACTTTTATGATTTTTTTGTGGATGTCCATTGGCCACCGTGTTGTTAATATACAAGAATATATACATATTTATAGATATGTCAATTCATTTATATGTATATTTATATCTAAAAAGTAACTATAAAATAACTCCCCATTTTAAGATACTTATAATTTATTTATTAAGTATGACTTTTAAAAGAAATTGATATGAGAGGAAAGCGATTAGCATGAGGTTTTATTCAAAATTCGATATAGGTACCAGATTTCGCTACCAGCTTCTCAAGTAACTCAGAAATCCCGTCAAATGATTTCACCAAGAACTCTTGTGATATGGAAGGCATAACATTTTGTATTCTCGATTCAAGTTCTTCCAAAGTCTTGGTTTGGTATAGTAGACATTCTCCTTTAACCAGCTCCAAAGTCACAGGATGTTAAGTCCTAACTGGCCACTCATACATGAAATAGGGAATTACTTTTCAATCACCCTGTATATCTATATAACATCAATTAGCTAAGTAACAAATTTCATATTTGTAGTATCTATCTATCTATCTATCTATCTATCTAAGTTTGTTCATGACTATCTATCTATCTATCTATCTATCTATCTAAGTCTGTTCATGACTGTCTCTGTTGATATCTATCTATCTATCTATCTATCTATCTATCTATCTAAAGAAGGAATTAATAGAAGTGAAATGTTTGTTACTTAGCTGACTGATGTCACCTTGAGCATTCCGATTCCAGAGTTTCGAAGACAGGCTCGTTCGTCTACTCGTCAGAGGGTATCTGCAATTGACTGCTTATACTTCTCGATTTTTCTTTTTTATATGCACATATCATTGGTGTAAGCTTCTTTTCATTGTGTATGTATGCGTGTTTCATGTGTGCATTCGCACGCGTGCATCCATGCAAATAATCACGACATTCTACAATGTCGTGATTATTTATCCTTTTTGTGGTTTCTTTTATATACAAATATCTGTCTGTGTGTCTGCGTGCATGTCAGATGTGCTGAAAATTTTGACTAACAAACTCCCAGTCCAAATTCTAAGATTTTGATAATTTAGGAAGAGGATCGAGAAATTTTCCTCATATGTTTGCGCGAGTGTTTGTGTGTGTGCATATGTGTATGTGCGTGGTGTGTATGCGTGAAAGTGTATATAAGTGTCAAATACCTGTAAGTTAAAACGCACGTGCGCACACACACACACACGCACATTCACACACGCGATCGTCGTAAAAGTATGATAATTAAAGAACTCGTTATTCAATTTGTTTGAATTTTTTGGAATGAGAATTAAACATTATTTACAACATTTACAGTCGGACTAATGTCCTCACTTGTTACGATCGTAAACTTTCGATTTTAATGCCCGTCGGCATTCATCAGTTTTCTGTCAATTCTGTTCTAGGGAAAATCCGAACTGAACTCTCTATTCAATCTCCCGGGTAATATTGTTCTCGTTCCGTGAGGAAATCATTTAAAAAGGACAAAGACATAAAATAATAAAGAAAAGCCAAACAACCACACAAATAATAGCAACAACAACAGAATAACATGGGGAATAATGATCAGAAAGCCAAAAGTAAACCTTTGGAGAATCGCAAGAAAAATGAGGAACTAAGTCGAATATGTTCTTAAAGAAAACGAAAAACAAACGAAAATATATATATATATATATATATATATATATATATATATATATATATATATATATAGGAAGTGCTAATAAAAGCAACCTAGAAAATATAAAAGGAAACATTTTGAAATAAGATCGGACGGAATCGATTTATGTGAAAAATCTAAGCGAAGAAAGCAATGAAAATAACAAACGGAAGAAAAAAATCTTTTCCACTAAAATAAAAACGGAAATAAGGAGATAAAAGCAGAGAGAATGAATGTTTATTAAATTTTTTTTAAAAAAAAGTGACGCCAAAAAAAAAACTAAAACTAAAATCAAAAACAAAAACAAAGATCAATGAATGAAAGAAATTAAAGTTAAAAAAATTGATAAGAAAAGAAACTTCATAATATTAACAAAAAATAATAATGAAAGTCAAGTTCTATTAAAAAATGCTAAAAGGAATTTCAGATTAAATAACTTGGTTGCGCAAAGGGCATTTGAAAAGAAAAAGAGAATTCTTATTAATAGCAGTCCAGGAAAATATAGCTAAGATATGCAAGAGAAATTTCAAACCTATAACGTGTATAGAGGGAATTAGCTCCTGAATACAAAATGATATTTGATTGGGTGGAAAGGTGATGCACTAGAGAAAGTGAAAATGACTGGAACCTTATATGCTGTCTGATTGAGTAGACTGGTTGCCACCCAGGGCAAGTGAAGCCCAACCATTCCTTCCGTTTAACCCATAACTGCAGAAAGATAGATTCATTTCTTTTACAAGTGCATTATTGTGGATTGAACGAAACAGATTCAATTAGCTTTTGAACTCGGCACCCGGGAGGTACGAAAAGATTGGAACGTTAAAGTTAGGGAAATGTGTCGAGAACGCTAGAAGGGAGGATTGGATGAGGTAGGAATTCTAGGGAGGATTGGTATTATCCAGCTGATGACATTGATGGAGGGTCTACAAGCATACTGAGGAAGGCGGTAGAATTTTGAGGAGACTTGTTGCCACTCAGTTCCCAGTATTAATCACCTTCTTGTGGTATCAGCAAGAAACATGCCGGACTACTACTACTATTACTACTACTATTACTTCTACTACTACTACTACTACTAATAATAATAGTAATAGGAGTAACAATAGTGCACTCTCTAAATGATATAGAAAAAATAAGGCAAGTCTAGAATAAATAATCTGGTGAGAAAAACCCAGAAAGAAAGGAAAAGAAAAAAAAAAAAGAAAGAAAACTTATTTTTGCTTGTTGTTCTCCGTTTACAATTCTGTTTTCTTTTTTTCTTGTAGGGACCCCATTTGAAACGCCAGTTAGAAATTTAATAACAATGGTGAGGATTTAATGCAATGTCAAAAAAAAGAACATGTTGGGATTATTATTATTATTATTATTATTATTATTATTATTATTATTATTTCAATTCTTTTTGCAACAAAAGAAATCGGCTTTTCAATGAAGACCCAACACAGCTCCGTTTTGTTTGTTAAAGAGATTATGTACGCAAAAAAAAATAAATAAATACATAAAATTAAGGTTGTCGAACGAAACCGAGATAAAGAGAGTGAGGGCGTGTCGAAGAAGGGGAGAAAGAGAGAGAAAGAGAGAGAGAGAGAGAGAGAGAGAGGTGATGTAATGAAGAAAGAGGGTTGACTGTAAGAGAAGGGGCGCAGTTGACGGAAGGAGAGGAAACGGAAGACAGAGTCACGTATCACACGATTGTATAACAATCGTTTGATAGAACAAGCAACTGATTTTTAAAGTCGACAGATATGTTTTCCTGCGCATGCGTGCACTCACTCACACACACACACACACACACACACACACACACACACACACACACCACACACAGAGATATATCTTATACGAGAAACATTATTTTTACTCGGTACACGAGATTGAATTGAAATATTCGCTTTTTATTTTCTTAAAAAGTGACAGTAAAATCAATTGGCGTAGATCTTAAAAATCTACAAAAGAAAAATGCATCTCCCGCCATTTTATTTAAGAGAACCTCATGGTTTAGGCCAGTTGATAAGAAAATAAAAATCAGATATGTCCACTGAAAATCATTAAAAATAGGATTTATAGTAATACGACATAATGCTAGATATAAAAAGTCACAATGTGTGTGTATATTTATATATATCAGGTCATCCCATAAGTTCTGTCCAAATTTTGAATAAAGAAAACAAGTGACCAAATGTTACATTTAATTACAGATTCAATCAACAATGTATTTTCCCTGATTATCTATGACTTCCTTCCATCTATTAACAAGCTTAATAATTCCATTACTGTAAAATTCTTTTGGCTTTGATTCGAAGAACTCACAAATGTCAGTTTTAACCTCTTTCTGTGTTACAAAAGCTGTTTCTTCCAAATGATTCTGTAAGCTATGAAACAAATGGTAGTCTGAAGGAGCAAGATCGGGAGAATAAGGTGGATGAGGAATTTTCTCCCAACCAAGTTCTTCGATCTTTTGTGACGTGATTCTTGCTGTGTGGGGTCGTGCATTTTCCTGATGAAACATCACCTCTTTTTGATTCACTAGAGTAGGTCTTTTTTTCCTCAAAGCTTGGTTCAAATGCTCTAATTGCAGACAGTATATTTGAGCATTAATTGTTGCATTAGGTGATAAGAATTCAAAGTGGATTATTCCTTGGCGATCCCACCAGATTGAAAGAAGAACCTTTTGCCCATGAAGTTCCTTCTCGGCTGTGGCTGGGCTCCTTCCCCTTTACCAAGCCACTGTTTACGATGCTTAACATTTCGATAAAAGATCCATTTTTCGTCGCCAGTCACAAGTCTATCCAAAAAAGGTGAAACAAGTTTGCAAGAATGGAGAGAAGAGCAGATGTCAACTCGGAATTTGAGGTTGTTTTCAGACAATTCATGAGGCACCCATTTTCCAAGTTTAGGAACTTTCCCAAGTTGTTGAAGATGACGATGAACAGTTGTATGGTTTAAACTGAGAACCACTGCCAATTCCTCAACTGATAAAGCAGGATTTTCAAGTGCTGCTTCAAGAAGCTTTTCATCAAACTCAACTGAACGTCCAGTTCGATCTTCAAAAGTGAAATCTCCACCTTTGAATTTTGCAAACCATCTTCTGAAAGTTCTTTCATTCACACATTCCTCTCCATAAACTGAGTGAATGTTTCTAGCCGCTTCAGCTGCTGAGTTTCCTTTCTTGAACTCATAAAGCATTACGTACCTCAAATGATTCTTGGATACTTCCATGTTAGCAGGGTTTTAATCAAACAAAATTTAATTTTATTGTTCTCCGAAATAAAATGCATCTGCATAAAAACAGTTTAGCTCCACTAGACATTGAAAATTTCGTTCATTTTAATAAAAAGTAAAATTCAGACAGAACATGGGACATATATATATATATATATATATATATATATATATTAAAAGAAAAAACAGTAAGATATAAAATCCGGTGTTCTTATAGATATTTTATTTTTACAAAATGTGCTCAATGTAAATTTACAGACCATTATATTATAAATATATTTAATATATTTTAAATATTATATATATATATATATATATATATAAATAAACAAACATTCACAATGATTTACAGGTAACAGAGCGAAAGGGCAACTTTGAGCGTGATTAGAACATTTTCGATCCTCCATGTCTAGACTTTTGTGACGAGTATCTTCATTTTGATTATTTGTTATCCCAACGTATCCCTCCTACTGAGGCCTTTTATTGCTTTCAATAATATTAAATTGTCGTTCCATATGTAATATACACCTATCTATTATTTTAAGACATTTTTATGTTTAACATAAAAATTTAAGGAGACATTTTTACGTGAGAGATTCATGGAACATTGAAGTTTAAATACAGTAAATTCGACCTGGCTAACCGAAACGCTCCTCTGTGGCCAAATCGGTAAAGGCACGTCAAGCTAAATGACGGTTCCGTATAGAATACAGGTTCGAATCCTGTCGGAGGACGAGTCTTTTCTGTGATAATTTCTCGGACATTCAGGCTGGTAAATGTTGTTAATAGTTTTTATTATAAACAGAGCATTTACTTAAATTT